GGGGGGGCGTTCCTGGGTGTTGTCTGGTGGGGACTCAGGGCCCGACGTGTCCTCTGGGGGGCGGGGCGGTGCTCCGGGCTCCCGGCCTGAGCTAGATACACCAGGCCCCAGGGTACCAAGCCCTTGGGGCGCCAGGCTCTGTGAGTGAACTCACTGATCCTTGCCGCCACCCCGGGAGATCGCGTCTCCACCCTCAATGTACGGACAGGCAGCCGAGACCCCAAGAGTACAAGTGACCTGCCCAAGGTCACCGAGCGTTAAGTGGCAGAGCTGGGACCTCAGACTGTCTGACTTCTGGGAGTCATGGAGTCAGCTGGTCGCTAACGACTTGCCTGCCACTCACCCCACAGCCGTCAGTGGAGACCCCTGTGCCTCTGGTTTCCAGCTGGAGGAGGGGGAACCGTACCTGCTTTGGCCTTGACCAGCCAAATCACTTCATTCACTTACTGGACAACTATTTATTGCTCACCTACTGTGTACCGGCCTTCCTGTGACAGCCCCTGCCCTGCTGGCACTCCCTGGCCTAATGGCAGAGGGACACATTAAATCAACACCTCTGACATGAGCAGCAGCAACAAAGATGGTGGTCTCAGCACTGTCATGGAGCCTGACCAGGTGCTGGCATTGCTCTTTTCTCTCCTCAGTGCTCACCACAGCCCCAGGAGGTAGGCATTCCTAGTGGCCCCATATTGCAGATGAGGAAACTGAGGCCCAGAAGGGCTAAGTCTGCTGCTCACAGCCTCACAGCCAGTCCACGCCTGGGCTGTGGGGTCAGTGCCCACTGTTCCTGAGCACAGTCACAATAGGTGCTGGGGACAAGTCAGGGGGCTCTGAAGGGCTTCTGCAGCAAGAAGGAGCCCTCAGCTCCCAGGGAGTCAGGACGGCAGCAGAGAAGGGAGGGATGGCGGAACAGCCCCGTCCCCCACGTTATACGTGAGGGGTTGAATCTCGGACGGGGCCCGTGCCCTGCCCAAGGTCACCCAGCTCAGGAACGGTCAAAGCCAGACGCAGTGGCCACACGCCCTGTCACCACAGGGTCCTGCGTGATCTTGGCCCTGCCCCCAGGCAGGGCCCCTCGGGAGATGCCACAGAGCACAACACAGAGCATGCGTGGGCTGCAAACTAGACCGTCTGAGGTGGAATCCAGGGACTGCCACGTGTTAGCTGGGGGTGGGGGCGCACCTCCGGTGTGTACGCTTCTCTGCACCTCCATTTTCCCACCCATGAAATGGGGGTGATGACACCGGCCTCCGGAGGGTTTATGAAACTGAGGTGAGACACCACTTGTAAAGTGCCCGTCCTGTGTGTGTTTCCTCTTCCAGCTATGTCCCCCCCTTCCCTCTGGGCCTCAGTTTCCCCAGTCTTGGTGCCTCTCTTCCCGCCACTCCATTTGTTTGTTTGCTATCCTGACAACTGCAGTTTTACTTTTTAAAAGTTACCCACATTGGTGCCCCTTTTTATTCATTCACTCAATCATTCATTCAGCCATTCTTATGTTCAACAAATGATGACAGAGCATCTACTGTGTGCTGAGCCCTGGGACGGTCTCTCCCAGTCTGCCTCACAGTGTGGTGGAGCCAGGCCAGCGCAGCGCTCGGGATGTTCCGATGACAGAGAGGCCCTCGGAGCTGGCCAGGCTTCTGGTGGCCCTGGGCCGTGCTTCTCTGAAAGGTCCCCGAGGTGGGCTGGTGCCCGAGGGGTGCCCTGTGCTGGCCACTGGGGGCACCCGGAGTTCACGCCCCAGTCACCGCCTGCACGGTGCTCCTGGGCCAGCTGGGTAAGAACCACCCGTGTGCCTGGCACCTGCCCCCTTGCCAGTCTCAGAGTCATGGTCAAGCAGTGGGAAAGAACAAAACTTCTGGCAAGGTGAAAGCGGTAGCTGCCACCATCGTGGCTACGGCTCCACTGGCCGCCCCCTTGGGCCCGAGGCCAGCCCAGGAGAACAGGGACCAGCCGTCCCAGGAGCTCAAGCCTATCCCCATCTTTAGCCTCTGGGAGGGAGGGGGTTGTTAGTGACAGGCCTGCAGGTCCTATTTTGCTGCCCTTCTACTTCCCGGCTCCTACCACCTGCCCAAAGATCCCATTTCCAGAGACCATTGCGCACTTCCGGCAATTATTTGGAAACCCAGAGGGGGCGGCAGGGGCGAAGGAAGCAGGTGTCCGCCCCAGCCCGTCCTGTCTCCCTCCCTCCTCATGACTAACAACATGGTGATGATGGCGTGAGGCTCCGGCCAGGCGGGCCTCCCACCCCTTCCTTACCCTCCCCGAGGGGCCAGCCCCTCCGCGTCCCCCCTTTCTGCCCCATTCGCTCATCCCCTCGTTCAGCAGCTGCTCACGGGCACCCACTAGGTGCCAGGCAGTGCGCTAAGGCAGGGGCACGGCCGTGAACGGGATAGCTCTGTCCGCAAACGAAGGAGCGCCCGCCGGGTGGTGAGAAGCGCTGTGGAGCGAGGAGGGGTTGGAGAGCGGGGACCTGTAGACAGTGGCCAGGGGAGTCCTCTCTGAGGAGGGGACGTGGGAGCAGGGGTCTCTGGGTGGGAGCGCACTTTGCAGGCCTGGGAGGGGCTGGCCTAGGCAGTGCCTCGAGATGACCACGGAGAGCTTCCGGAGCTGGGCAGGAGAGCCTGTCCTGGAAGGATCCCTCG